TTTTTTTTTTCAACGTTTATTTATTTTTGGGACAGAGAGAGACAGAGCATGAACGGGGGAGGGGCAGAGAGAGAGGGAGACACAGAATCGGAAACAGGCTCCAGGCTCCGAGCCATCAGCCCAGAGCCTGACGCGGGGCTCGAACTCACGGACCGTGAGATCGTGACCTGGCTGAAGTCGGACGCCCAACTGACTGCGCCACCCAGGTGCCCCTCCTTTTCTTTATATAATTTTTGTAGCATTGCATCTTTCATTTGTTATAAGTATTTTCCCCCTAACTTTTGTATTTTCTGGATATAATTTAATGACTCTCTTATTATAGCCCAGTGTGACTATATATCATTTATGAAGTGATTTCCCTAAACAAATTTTTTTAAAAGGTAGGACTGCATTGTTACTTAAGGAATTAATCTTCAAAATAAATTTTCAGGTAACATTTACTTTAATGGGATATTTTCTAATATGTATAGTTCCAGTACTTAAGAGAACCAAAATATTGTAATTATGCTCTAATAAATGTTTATTAGAGGGTAAATTGCTTCAGAGTCAAAGTAGGTAGGTCATCCATTTTGAGATGTTTGTTAATTAACTAGGTATTTGGGTAAGGAAAATGTATGTATCATTTTCTTGTTTGGGGGCAGGGAAAAAGCATTGAAGTCTCTTAAAAAATTTTACTAATTGAAGTACAGTTAAAGCATTGCATTTTTTACTGTAGTTTTTAATCTTTTAAAGATTTTCTTGACTCACATACTGAGAGAAATTAAGGAGGAAGAAAGATGTGAGTACACAGTATATTCTCTTTTGGATTGTGACTCCTTTAAGGATTTGAATTGTGGACGAAATATTACTTTTGTTTACTTGTAACTTTGCTTTCTGACAGTTGGAAGAAGAAAGCTGTGGTTACATGGCTGTTTGGCATTAAAAATCGGGTCATATGGTGTGGTCATTTTTTTTTTCTTTTGCCGTGTCATCTTTAGACACATACATAATTTTGTTGAAGGGGATGTGGTATAACTTTTCCTATAGATGGATATAGCTGTAGTTGTTCAAGTTTATTTTAGTAGTAGCACCTGTGAAATGACTGTTGGCTTTAATTTATAGCTGGGTTTCTCAACCTCAGCCCTGTTGACATCTAGGGCTGGATAATTATTTTTGTGGGGGCTGTCTGTGCATTCCACAATATTTAGCCGTGTCCCTGGCCTCTATCCTTTAGATGCCAGTAGCAGGCCCCTTCTCCAGTAGTGACACCAAAAATAGCTCCTCCCTACATTGCCAAATGTTTCCAGAGGGGCAAAATGGACCCCTGTTGAGAACCATGAATATTAGCACTCCTTTCCAGTTTTTTTTTTTTTTATCTTTATTTTTGGTGTTAACCGACTATTTGATACATTTTGAAATGTTTACATTTTCACACGAATCACTCCTTTTTCTGTTATTTAAAGGTATTGTTTGAATGCTAGTAATTTCCCTGGACATAGCATACGTCCTTTAATTTGTAGCAACTTCTACTCCAAGGCAATTCTCTAGTTTCCCTTTATAACTGTTAAAAGATAAATTATAATTTTGGAGAGCTATAGATGGAAGTCTAATGTTTTCTTACACTCTTTCACTTAGCACAAACTAAAAAATTTTGTATTATAAGAAATATACTAATTTAGAAAATGGAAATAATAATCATACCATACTATATAAGGGTTGTGATAAGAAGGAGCACCCTGGGTGGCTCGTTCGGTTGAACATCCAACTCTTGACTTTGGCTCAGGTCATGATCCTCATGGTTTGTGAGTTTGAGCCCCGCACTAGGCTCTGTGCTGACAGTGCGGAGCTTCCTTGGGATTCCGTCTCCCTCTCTCTGCCCCTCCCCTGCTTGCTCTCTGCCTCTCTCTCAAAATAAATAAAAATAAACTTAAAAAAAAAAAAAAAACGTTTGAAGTGAGGTAATGTGGGTAAAGTAACTCTGCTGCTGTTAACAGTATACAGGTAAAGACAGAATCTGGCTCAGAGCAAGCAAAACACTGTTGGCTATAAATACTGCTTTTCCTTATTACCACATTTATCAAATAGTTTTATTTAAACTCTTCATAGTCCTCTTTGACGATGTCTTGGCAGTTCTCACTAGCGCCACTTCGGACACTGTTTTCCAGATTGTACTATCTTTAATCTGTCTAAATTGAGGGAGAGCAACTTTTCAATTTTGTATTTGCTTTTCCTTGGAAACTTTATCCCAAGCCAGAAATTTTGCTATTTGTTATCTCCACAATTAACCATTTAACTGTGTTGCTTTTATGTCTGATTCACAAAAAATTTGTTTACAACCCTAAGAACACTTGAATTCAATTTATAAGGGGTCATATTCCCTGAAAGAATTAGAAAATCTGGGTTAAATTTATGTGGCTCCTTTTCCACTGATGTGTAAGGCTTAACAGTGACCCAGAAAATAGTATCAAGAAGCACTGAGGGGCACCTGGCTGGCTTAGTCGGTTGAGCATCTGACTCTTGATTTTGGCTCAGGTCATGATCCCAGGATTGTGGGATCGAGCCCCGCAGTGGCATTGGGCTCTCTGCCGACTTGGAGGTTGCTTAGGATTCTCTCTGTCTTTCTCTCTCTGTGTCTCTCTCTCTCTCTCTCTCTCTCATTACAAAAGAAGAGGAAGCACTTAAACAAGAGTTGGTAGAATCAAAATGATTACTGTCATGGTAGATCAGATTATTTTTGTGTTTCATTATTAGACATAAGTGATATTCAGGTTTTTATGTTTATATTTTTATGAGTCGGATGTCATCCTAACTAACATGGCTGTAAGAGAGGAGACGAGCAGTTTAAAGAGAATAAGAAAACATTCAGCATCAATGATAGTAGAGGCTTTTATTTTTCTTTCAAGGCATAGAATGAGCAGTTTTCACCTGCCTGAACAATAACATAGGCCGGGATTATCCACATTTTAAGTAAAATAATATCCATCATTCCTGTTTGTAATCAGAATTTACATTTATTTGGTTCACATTAAATATAAATCCTTTAATTTTCTTTATTGTTCAGTAATTACAAGGTTCACAGAAAACATTTCAGTGAGAGTTGTGCTGCTGCTGACAGCATAAAGGTATAATCTCATGAATAGGAAGTTGGGGGTCTGTTCTTACTAACAGACTGAACTTAAATTTTTTATGTGTATATATATATATTGAAAAGTTGTGCCATGATGCATGGATTTTCTTTGTTAATTTTGGTTCGACTTCTTTAGTCTTTTAGTTGGTTACTTAAAAGGTGTCATTTTTTATTTATTTGCTGTATAGGTCAACATGATGGACCATTACCCAGACAGCATGCTGGATTGTTGCCAGAATCTCTTATTTGGGCCTATATTGTCCAACTGAGTTCTGCGTTGCGTACCATTCACACAGCAGGTTTGGCGTGTCGAGTTATGGACCCAACAAAGATTCTGATAACTGGCAAAACAAGGTACCACCATTTTGAGTTTTGGCTTCTTCATTGAGCATCTAACCTGTGACAGTTTAGTAAACAAAGCATGATGATTCGTTTAATTCTACCTTTTCGTATATTCCATCCAGAAGAACTGCTGTGACTTTGAGTCCATTTGTAAGTTAAAAAAAAAAATGCTGAATTCTTAAGAATACAATGCCCGGTCATTAACCAGGAATCATGTAAAAGTTTGGGACGTATACATAGTTAGGGTCAGGGGCTGGATGTAGAAGTGATATCAGTATACCTTTTCTATGTACAACCGTGGTTCTCCGATTGTAGCATGAAACAGAATTGCCTGGAGGGCTCATTAATAAGCACACGTGATGGGGCTCCACTCCCAGAGTTCTCCTTCAGTGAATCTGAAGTGGGGCCTGAGAATTTATATTTCCATCAAGTTCTCATGTGATACTGTTGCTGCTCATTGGGTCCAGTGCTTTGAGGACCACTGATACCAAGTTAAGGAGCACAGCCCTTGACTTCCCCAGAGTTTTATTTGAGTTGCTGTGACTTTGAGACTTCTCTTGGACAGCATAGCACAAAGAGCTCAAGGTCTGGTACCTGGTTAGCCAGGTTCATCATACCGAGTCTCCTTAGTTGCTGTCTGTATGATCCTGAGCAAATTCTGTAACTTCTGTGTGTGCAGCAACCATAGAAGACTATTGGTATCTCTACTTTCCACACTTACAAGGTACCTGTGTCGTAAGATTATTGAGAGGATTAAATGACTAATACATGTAAAACTGAATGATCGATACACGTGAATGGTGCCTAATACATCTTCAGTAAATGTTAGAAAGCTAATTAGTTCTCTTTCGTGAATCACTGATAAAGCAGCAGCTTGGTGTGGTGAAAAGACCACTCGCCTGGTAGTCGAAGGAGTAACAGTCCAGTCCTGGCCTTACCAGTTACTGACTTCTACACCCATAGGCCTATCGCTTGGCATCTGTGAGCCTTAATTTCCTCATCTCTAAAATGGTGGTTGAAAGAGGTTATATGGGCGTAGGGTAGGAGGTTAGACCAGATAAGATTCTGAGATCCTTCCTAATATAGGAAATGCTGAACTTTTTTAAAATCTCAGTTTAATAATTTTGTTTAAATTCTCTGGTCTTTAAAGGTTGCGAGTAAATTGTGTTGGAGTTTTTGATGTTTTAACATTTGATAACAGTCAGAATAATAATCCGTTGGCATTAATGGCGCAGTACCAGGTGAGTAAGAGTGAACATGGACACTTAACAACGTCAGGCTTTTTTTCTAAAGATTTTGTTTATTTGGGAGTGGGGCTTTTAAGTCTAGATTTCAGTGTATTCTGGGGGTGTCTCTAGGTCAGCTTTGAACATGTATTTCTTAATCACTGCCGTGTGTAGTGCAGAGTCCTTATCAGTTGGAATGCAGAGAGTTAATGACAGTGTCAGAGACTAAGCGTTCAGAGGAAAATATGTTTATGTGGTCGGGAAAGTCCTCAACATAGATTAAAACAGAGTAATTGGCGAATAGATCATATTCAGTGACATTTTACTTTTTTTCCCACTTGTTTCATGTGTTAAAATCACAGCTGTTATTTTTACTCTTAGATACTGTCCCACCACCAATCCACACATTTTGGAAATATTGTCAAAGGAATATTGTTGTATCGACATGTTCTAAATAATTTTTCTTTTGCGTACTCCCTTCTTTTACACGATCAGAATCTGGTTCTAGTCTAGTCATAATACTAGCATAGGTTTAGGCCCCTCTATGTTCTTCGTCTTAGCTGTTCGTTTCATACTTCTTGATAAATACAAGGTGTGAGAGAATAAGAGCCTATCTCTGCAAGGAACGTTAAGTGTAGTTGCTTTTGCCTTAATTGCTCTGTGCAGGTGATGTGTACATAAAGTAAATATTTCAGGTCATTTCGTCTGTATTGCAATACTTCCCATCTTTTTGGAGGATATGCAGCTGCCACTTTAAGACCGTATTATTCATTCTTTTTGTGTTAAGAAATTTTTGGTGTTTCTCAACATTTACTAACCTTTAGAGGTCTGATATAAGGCAGAATCTCTTAATTATGTGGAAAGTCCAGGAGAAAAACACTTTACCTTTTCTTTACCCTTCTCGTTGCAACTTCTTTAGTTTAAATCTTTGAGAGATTTTAGTTCGCTGAATTATAAGCCAAAGTTTCTGAACAAAAAGGAAGAGACAGAATGAGAAGTAGAGTCTAAGTGATGCCTAGTGATCCACTTCATGCGTAGTGAACTGGATCCCCGAGTGTAGTCCCCGAGAGGTAGAGCCACACTCATCACGTTGAGCTGTGTGGGTTGGAAGCGGACCTGACCCATCTCCCCCCCTCCCCCCAGCTAAACTGGGCGGCAGCCAAGCTGTCCTGGTTGGTAGCGCCATCTAGTGGGCGGCGCACAGAAGAATCTGACTGCTTTTTTCTGCCTCAGGGGGTTTGCTCTGTTCCTCTTTCTTTTCTAGGTGGTTCTTAGCTACTTTCCTTCTTCTGTCTTTCACCTAGTGCCTGACTGGCTCTGAACAATTTTCTTCTTGATCTCTGTGCTTCTAAGAGAGACTCAGTATTGGCTGTTAAAATATACATCCAGGAAAATTTTGGAGGAGAAATCAGACACTGTTTGGAACTAGTCATCTAACTCTGTTGCAAGAATCTGGAAACCCCACGTCGACATTAAAAGACGAAACACCTTGCCGTTTTGTTTTTTTACACGTTCAGCACTACACTATGTCATTCTTGTCTCTTCTGAATAGAGTTCCTTTTTTTAAAAAAAAATGTCTAGTATAAGGCTGGTTTGATTTTGGTTTTCTGTGAGTACTATCGCAGTATCATTTCCCATTTTTTCTTTGTAGAGGTACATCGTTTCAGTTACATTAGTGATAGGTAGCCACCTTGAAACACTCTTTTGCAGGAAAAGTAATCCCAGAGTTCCAAACAAACAGCTCTTCAGTAAGCACTTGGGGCAGCTGATTGGCCAGTTAGGAGCTGCCTCCTGCTTTCAGCCAGCTGTCACCTTCCCTTTATTTTCCAGCACTAAAAGGATATCTCAGGTTTCCTTCTTTTTCTTTCTTTTCCTTAGTTTTGGGGGGTGGGTTATGTATGTGGGGAACATTTTTCACACAGCTTATAGAGTAAGGTAAAGGAGAGAATTAAAGATAGTCCCAAGTGGGGGATTGTGATTTTACGGAGAAGAGGGTACGTGAGAAAGGAGTGCATTGTTTCTTGTAGTCTCTTTTTCATAGTCTGTTTCAGACACGTGAATAGAGACTGACTTTCAGTAAAGTGGACATAAGTAGAGCCATAGATAGAATCAGAAAAATCAAGAAATCAAGAATCAGGAAGAAACTGAAAATGAGTGGGGGGAAAACCTCCAGAATTCAACAAATGGGGGGAAAAACCAGATGGAGGTAAGAAGCAAAATAACAAACGGAAAACTATTTAGCTGGCAAATAAGGAAAGGAGAGTTATTGGGCTTTTATGATGTTGAACTCTCTTAATTTTAAGCAGGACGTCATTAACCTCTTACTTAAAAACAAATCCGTTCTAATTTAATCTGGATTATGTGACCTGTAGACTTTATTTCTAAACGTGCGTATTCCACCTTGAGTCAGCTTTAGAAAGCGGTGGGACGCACTCAAAAATCAGATGTTCTTATTTTAAAAACCCATCCAGTCCTTCGGCTGTCTTGGACTTTTGTTTTCCTGGCTCATACTAGGGAATACCGGAATGTTCTAGCTGGGAGGTTTAGTTACAGCATCAATTGAGGGTGGGGCTAAACTGAAAATTCTGTTGTTTTAAGGGTTTGGGAGGCTGTGTGTTGGTACATGCTGCTCAGACACTTGATAAATAATAGCAGCTTTCAGTTTGCTTTGCTGACGATATGGGATTGAAACACTTAGAGAAATTTACAGTTCGCATTTACATGTACCAATTTGTCTTGACCAAGATTTTTATGGTTTCATTACTATAACTTGGAATGTCTTACTCGATCCTGAGAAGGACTGAGGGGAATCCTTCTTGAGTTCATTCATGGCAGTGCCCCTCCGAGAACAGAAATGATCGAACACTAATAGTGCTCCCTCCCGTGCCACCCTACCTCCTCCCTTTCTGGGCTCCTAAGTCTGTACCACAAGTGAAGTTTTAAAAAGTTTCTTTGACATGAATCCTTGGCATCTCGTACCACAATAGAATCAAAGTAGTTTTTCTAATCCGTTTTTCCACTGATTATAATAGGGTCTCCTGTTCAGAGCGTCAAATGCACAAATGCTAGTACTGAATGAATTTTTGAATTTGAACTTTTTAATGTTAGTAATGGAGTTTGGCTTCTTTATACGTTCTTATTTGGGTAAAATGTTGAGGATAGCTGTAGAGTGCTAAAGTTTCATTAGTGACTGTCTTGAAATATTTGCGACTATACTATGTATAGACATTCCACAAAACCAGTGGTTCTCCATCGTGACCTCAGTATCAGAACTGTTGTGGGAGCTTTGAAAAACACTAATACCTAGATCTTAACCCAGACTAATAATACCAGAATTGGAGTGAAGGGATAGCTACAGGGCTACTTCTTCTGTTTGGTGTTTTTGAGCTCCTCAGGTGATTTTAATGTATAGCTAGCTTTGAAAGCTCCTTTTACTAGACCAGTATTCAGTAAATGTATCCGATATTTGAGATCAGGTCTCAGATTTTGAAGATTTACAGAAGTTTTCTGTCACAATCACTTCAAATGATTTTATTTAACTCGGAGCTATTCCATTCTCCTAGGCCTAAAATTATTCATAGTTACCTGCCAAGAAGGGCCACTGGGGATAACCATTCTGTTTCCTGGAGTTAGACAGGTAATAGAGAGCTTACCTCAATGTAGCCAGCTATCTTTGAAAATCCTTTTAGAGCAAAAGCCTCACAGTGGTAAATCATAAAAAAATAGATAGGTAAATGGAGAAAGAAAAAGAAGAAAGAGAGAGAGGAAGAAAGGAAGAAAAGAAAAGAAAGAAAAAGAAACCAGGTGGTTACAGAGCTCAAAGATCTGTTGTAATGTGAGTAAAAATGGGCTATTTGGAAATAAGGGCAGATGGGATGTCACTGGGGTTGGCAGCATTCTCGATGTTCTGAAGAACATACCCTGAAATCAGGTAATAGTTCTGTTACATTCTGAATGATGGAATAGCTTTTCTTCAAATAATTCTCCAAACTGCCACTGTATTTGGGGATGATGGAAAGCGAGAGAGGGGCATATTGTAGATTGTAACGATCGTAGTCAGGTGAATATGTGGTGACCAGCCTTAATACTAGGAACGTCAGCTCTATCTAAATAAGTTTTTTTTTAAAAGTTTGAAGCAACAATTCTGTAGCTGGCATATGAATTGCTTAGAGCATAGCCCTAACTACATTTATCAGAATTACCTGGGTGCTTTAAAAATGTTGGGCCTGCTCCCCCAGAGTTACCGAATGAGACTCTCTGGTGGAGAGGCCCGGGAAGCCCCTTCAAGCTCCCGGGTGACTCTGGGCACCACTATCGGAGAGCCCTGTGCTGAGTTTTGCAGCTTCTTTGTAAAGGTGCCTTTTCCATGCAGGCAGTAGTGTCACTGTGTTAAATTTGTACGTGTAAAATAAAAATTAAAAGTTATATTTATTCTTTCATGTCAGCAAGCAGATCTGATATCATTAGGAAAAGTTGTGTTGGCTTTGGCTTGCAACTCTTTGGCAGGAATTCAGCGAGAGAATTTACAGAAAGCCATGGAACTGGTGACAATCAACTACTCCTCTGACCTGAAGAACCTGATTCTGTAAGTTGTGATATACAATTAAACACATATGACGATCGTAGGAGATGAGACAGCTTTGTGTCCACACAGGCCTTCTAATAGAGCTTCTATTCGTTATTTTAGTTCCTACTGTTCAAAATCAGGCAAAACACAGTTAAACAACTTTTAATTTCTGTATTTTTATTGTTAAGTGTATATTTCCTTGAATAAATTCGTGAACCAATGTGTTTAGTTACTGATGTTTTAAATGTTTGGTCAGAGGGTACCCACTGAGGTTGCATTGGTATTCACTAGCTACATATGACTTAGTTTAATTAAAATACAATAAAGTTAAAGAAATCAATCTTGCACCGGCCACATTGCAAGAGCTCAAAAGCTTCATGTGGCTTCTGGCTAATATATCTCATCATTTCAGAAAATTCTGTCAGACAGTGCTGCTCTAGAGAGTGGTTGTTCTCTTTGTGCGAGCTGTCACAAATAAACCTCAGATGCAATCCAGTTACAGATTCTGTGGCCAAAACAGCCATTACAGAAAGCATGGATGTAAGGGTCCCAGGCTTCTACTCCAGGATCTCTAGACGCCCAAGAAGTCCTTGAAATGCATTTGACTTAGGAGAGCCCCACTGTGGACTCCTGTCACCGCAGGGGGACTTCTCCCTGTCTCAGACGCATCTAACATCGGGGAATTCCAGAGCGTGGACCGCCATAATTCTTACTGTCATTAGAAGTGATTGCAGAGAACAGATGCTACAGTATCTCTCGAAATTTTTTCTGTTATGTTCTAGAAGCAGCTGGAGCATATTGGTCCTTTTCAGTGCCTTAGTTTTCAGCTGTTCCTTCTGATTTTTCTGTGTAGTCTTGGAGGATTCAGTTTCTTTTTGGACTAGCTCGGGATATGAAATTGAGGGCTAGAGGATGGGGCTGCCCACTTGTACTTTGTTACGCTGGCATAAGTGCCGTGCTTGTGACCGAGCACCGGAAGCCAGTGATTGCCTGCTTCCGGGGAATACTCACGTGATTTCTCTTTCAAGTGAAAATATTTGTTCCACGTATTTTCACAGCAGCAATTCCTAGCCTTCATTTGCAACATCTCAAAGTAGTAATCTCCAAACTTCCTTTTTAAAAAGTTGAGAGTAAAGGATATAAATGTTACAAACTAGCCAGCCATACGTTAATAATTGCCAAAACTGGGCAAAGGGTACATGGACATTTGTTATACTGTTCTCTCTACTTTTATGAATGTTTGAAATTTTCCTTAATCAAAAGTAAATTAAAAAGCCATACTTGCATACTAAGTAACAACTTTATAGAGCGGTAAACCATGTATCAGGCACTTTCTAACTGATACAAATGAATTTTCCCAATAATCCTATAAGTTAGCTCCACTTTAGAGATGACAGAACTGAGGCTTAGAGAGGTAAAGTAACTTGCCAAAGTCACAAAGCTTGTAATAACTTTAAGTAGTCAAGATGTAAATATGTCAGTAGTTACAGATAAATAGCTAAGGCATAGATTATCAACAGGAGGATTTTATTTAACAAAAGAATGCCTATCCTGTGCCAGACCCCGAAGATACCTTGAACAAGATGAACAAAACCCCCCAACTTCTGGAGCTTCCACCCTAATGGGGAGGAGGTAACAAACATGGAAACATGTAAGATGTTGGCAGGTAGCGCTAAGTCCCCTGAAGAAAATGGGATAGAATTTTAAGCAGAGAGTGCGAGAGCAGGAGGCTCCCGTCCCAAGGATGGTTAGGAAACGGCTCGCCTGTCAGAATAGGCAGTAATAGGTCATGATCACCTTTGTATTCTAGCAGGTCGCTTTTTGAAACGGATTTTTTTGGTTTTTTGGGGGTTTTTTTGGCCTCAGTTATAATGGTAGGAGAAATTGGCCTCTTCTGATACATGTTAGTGCGTGACAGTTTTTCAGAAATAAATAGATGATGACAACTGGTAAATGACATTGTAGAGCAGAGGACACCTTTCTAAAAAGTTGGAACCTTGTTTGAGCCCAGTGTGAGGCTCAAACCCACAAGATGTGGGATCATGACCCGAGCCGAAGTCGGACGCTCAACCGACTGAGCCCCCCCAGGCGCCCCGACACAAATTATTTTGAAGAGCAAATGGAAAAATCTCTTTACCTACAGCCGCCCCCTATTTCACCCCTCCAAAAAAGCTTGTAACAGCCTTTTCGTGTCCCACTATTGTAAGGAAGGGTTTGAGAATGCAAATGGTGAAGTGTAACCCTACTCAACTTCCCTTTTTCATTTTCATAATAGCAAAGCTGTAGAGAAAGAGACATGTTTACAGTTTCTTCCATTGGCTCTTAAAATTTCCCAGAGAGGGGCGCCTGGGTGGCGCAGTCGGTTAAGCGTCCGACTTCAGCCAGGTCACGATCTCGCGGTCCGTGAGTTCGAGCCCCGCGTCGGGCTCTGGGCTGATGGCTCGGAGCCTGGAGCCTGTTTCCGATTCTGTGTCTCCCTCTCTCTCTGCCCCTCCCCCGTTCATGCTCTGTCTCTCTCTGTCCCAAAAATAAATAAAAAACGTTGAAAAAAAAAAATTTTCCAGAGAAATCATCAACGCTTAAAAGTGAGGTTGACTTGATGAAAAAAATCTTTTCAAATTATATACACTTCTGTGACGGCAGCAGCGATAGCTATGTGCTTGTGTGTCGTGTTTGTTTTTTTAAATTGCACAATTTGAGGGGCGCCTGGGTGGCTCAGTCGGTTGAGTATCCGACTCCGGCTCAGGTCATGATCTCGCCACGGCTTGTGAGTGAGTTCAAGCCCCGTGTCGGGCTCTGTGCTGGCAGCCTGGAGCCTGCTTCCGGTTCTGTGTCCTTTTCTCACTTTGCCCCTCCCCTGCTCATGCGCGGGCTCTCTCTCTCTCTCTCTCTCTCTCTCTCAAGAATAAATAAAACATTTTTTAAAAATTAAAAAAAAATTAAATTGCACATTTGGCATTCAGGTGATTCTTTATTTTCGCTAGGTATTTGTTGACTGACCAAAACAGGATGCGAAGTGTAAATGACATCATGCCCATGATTGGTGCTCGATTTTATACTCAGTTGGATGCTGCTCAAATGAGAAATGATGTCATAGAGGAAGACCTTGCAAAGGTAAAGAGTTAAAAAAAGATATATACAATGACATCTGTATGTGCAAAGAGTTAGAAAACAGTAATTTTTGTGCCGAATTGGCTAGGACTGTTTACAGATATTTTTTAAGTTAAAAAAATTTTTTTTTAATTTCTTATGTCCTCTGGGCATTTGTGTTCTGCTTTTTGTTTGTGGCTTTGCTCCAGTTAATTGACAGAATCTTGATTTTTTTTTTTTTTTCCCATGTAACTTTAACCATTCTTAAAAATGGCCAGCTGCATGATCATCTTGAGTATTAATATCGAATGAAATGGACATGTTACATTCAAAATGATTACCAAAAGGTGGGGATATTAGGATTTACAGTTTAAAGGTAATATTGGTGTAGGATACCAGGTTCATAAAATTTTGCTGGAATATTAACATTCTCTCTCTTTTTAAAATGTCTTATAGGAGGTTCAAAATGGAAGACTGTTTAGGCTTCTAGCAAAATTGGGAACAATCAATGAGAGGCCGGAGTAAGGATTTACAGTATTTTACAATATGATTTCAATCAAATGCACTAACAAGACTGAGTATACCTGATTCTTACTGGTTTTATTTGGAAAGAGAAAAATTCTCATGTGAAGTGACCTTAAGCCTGTTGGTAGCCATTAGGATGCCGTTTTTTAACTACAGCCTAGATGTGGTTGTTCTTAGGGATTCCACACACACATACCCATACGGAAAACAGACTGTTAGAAAGCTCCATTGTGGTTTGTGCATGAGGGGACATTTTATGACTGTCAGTACTGCCTCTACCCTGTCTCCTTTTTGAAGCTTGCTCAGTTCAGTTTACCTTAGTCAGATTAGAGATTTCAGACATGTCTAATTGTTGCATGCCCCTTATCTTCTATTTAAGAACATCACATAAACAATACATACAGCTGTCATATCGGTGACACTGGAAAGGCCTCGCCACCCTTCATTATTTGTCATTTAGTTCTGCCTCATTTGTAAGTTCAAGTTTATCGTACGTTCAAGAAAGAAGGAGAGTTGACGTCTGTACTAAATAGTAACTGTCGAAGACAGGTTGAACAGTATTATAGCTACTTTCACTGTAGTATAAGTTCTGTTTCAGGAATGTTACCTCTGTTGATAGAGATAGGTGACACATAAATACCGCTTGAGGGATTTTGTTTTTGACGACAAAATTCATATTCACTTACCTTTCTTCACAGTTACAAAGCTCAATTTGTATTTTCCCTGATAATGTTTCTAAATGAAGAGAAGATGACAACAACAAAAAACCCCCCAAAAACCCTTCAAGTTGTTTCTTCTGGCATTTTTCTCTTTATTTAAAAATAATATGCTTATGATACTATTGCTTGATTTTTTTTTTTTTTTTAAGTATTTAACTCAGCTAATGACTTTGTCCTGTGTAGGATGAGGCTTTATCTTTCATACCCCCTTTCCTTAACCAAACATACTCAGTCACTCACTCACTCACTCACTCACTCACTCACTCACATTCTACCATTGAACCCATAAGTTTTGAGTTAAAAGTGTTGACATTAGTATAACGGGGTAAATACTGTTCATAGCTGCACCACAGAGTAAACCATGACTATATTTCCTTTCTTTTGTATTTTGTTTTTTGATTTTTGTTTTCCTCGGGTTAATAATTGCCTTATTATAGAACTCTAATAAGCAAATGAAAAAATATTGACCACCACGTTATTCCAGACTTTTTGCCAGAGTTACGAAACACCTTCCCATATGGTCAAAAATAGGTAACCTATCAGTTCCTTTTTTTTTCTCCCCCTTAGAGAAATTGCCCCCGGAGCCTCTGTCCTTCTATTCCTATCTGGGCTGGTTGAGCTCTAAGCCTGCTCACACTCACACTTTAGAACTGGAGCTTCCCTTCACTATTATCCTGGGAATTCTCATTGTCTCTCCCTTTGTGTTGAATACCCTGTTTCTTGCTTTTTTCCTTGATTTATTCTTTTGATTTATTGGAGCACATCCTCCTGTAGCTTCCTGAGAAAGGTGAGTTTTTTGAGTCTTTGTAAGTCTGAAAATATCTTTATTCTATTTTTACACTTATTGACAGTATAACTGGGTATAAAATTCTAGACTGTCCTTGGAAAATTCTTTTTATTAATTTTGAATAGGTTAATATGAACCAGTTTTTTAAAACGTAGAAAAGGGTTTGCAGTGGGAAAAAATCTCTCATACCTGTTACATCCCCAGTCTCTCCCTTTTCTCCCACTAATCTTTATTTTATATTCTTCCTGAGTTACAATGATACATTCTTAATTCCTTTCATCCCCTCCTCACTTTTTAATATATACAAATTGTAAACCATGCAGTGTTCTGTATGTTCCTTTTTCCTTATTAACTATATTTTGGAAATCTTTTTGTTTAGGTATGTTTAGTGTATACCAAACACTATTCTCAATAGTTTACAAATATGTCCCAACTCAATCCTCGTAACTACCGTGTGATACAGGTACTATTAGCCTTCTCGATTAACAGAGATGTGTGGGCATAGAGAGGTGAAATACCTTTTCCAGGGTCACATAATAAGTGAGCATCTGAGCCAGAATTCAAATCCAGACAGTATGGTTCCAGAGTCCATGCTCTGAACCACTATGCTATGCCTCCATAATTTATAGCCATGTAATAGTCCATTCTGTGGACATGCTGTAATTTATTGCTCTAGTTCCTGATCAGTAGGCATTTGAGTTGTTTTTACTGTTTTGCTGGTATAATCAGTGCTGCAGGGACTGACTTATGCATACTTAATTGTACGTGTGCATAAAGATAGACCCAGTTGTGGTTGTTAGGTCTGTGGATATGTGACCGTAAACCCTTGCAGAGAGCCTTTTACCAACAGTACTTCTTCAAGCTTGTGGATTTTTGTCTACCTGATGGATGCGAAATTGAATCTCAGTGCGGTTTTATTTTGTATTTACTCTTAATGAGCATGTTGCTTGTCATTTTTATGTTTTTGATCTGTTTCTGTTGCCTTTTTTTTCTTTGTTCGTATTGTTGGCTCATTTTTATTTCCAGTTGAATTGTCTGTCGATTTATAGGAGCTGGAGAGATTTGTCCTTTTTGATCATTTTCTTTTTAATTTGTCATTTCTCTTTTGACTGCTCAGGTTTTTTTTTTTTTCCATGCAGACATTTGTATACATGGTGTAATTGATCAAACTTCTTTTATCCTTTTGGGTTTTGAATCATAGTTAGAAAGGCCTTTTCTACGGGAATTTTCTCATTGTTTCTTCTAGTGTACTTACGGTTTTATTTTCTTCCCATATTAAATTTTTATGTATTTGGAATATTTATAGGATATAAGGTATGTATTCAGCTCCCCCACCCTTCCCTCTCAGAAGACTCTCCAGTGGCCCAAAAGCTATTTATCGAATAGTCTAGCTTTCCCACTGGTTTAAGACAGTACTTCTTTCACATTAATGTTTGAATGACTGTCATTTCTTTTTAATGTTTGCTTATTTATTGAGAGAGAGTGAGTAAGCAAGTGAGCAGGGGAGGGGCAGAGAGAGAGAAAGAGGGAGGGAAGGAAGGAGAGAGAGAGAATCCCAAGCGTGGTTGCTTAACTGACTGAGCTAACCAGGCACCCCTTCATGACTGACTTTTTTTTTGGATGACATTTTAAAATCTGGTAGTTCATTCTTTCTCAGCTTCATTTCATTGTTTTTTGTTGTTTCCTAAAACTGTTTAATTTTCTGTATAAATTCTAGAATCAGCTTTTTTAGTTAAAAAAAAATCTATAAACCTGGTGGTATTTTTATTTTATAAGATGACATGTTTATTATTAAACTTAAGGAGCATATGTGTTTGTAGATGTTGAGTTTCGTAACCACGACAATGGTATATATCGTTGAATTCATTCACACCTACTTTACTGTCTGTCCTTCAGTGCTTAAGTTGTTCTTATGTTGTTGTGGCACACTAAGTTTACTAGGTATTTTTCTTCTTGTTGCTGTTGTAAATGGGAATCCCCTCCCTTCCCCCCACCCCTGCCATTCTTTCTTCTTAGATTGCCTATTATCGGTACACGTGAAATTTATCAATTTCTGTAAAATTTGTGCCCAGATACCTTAGTGTTTGGATAGTTTTTCACTAGATTTCTTGGGTTTCCCCGATACAGAGTCATATCTTCAAATAATTGTAGTTACATTTCCTACTTTCTAATTTCGATAGTTTCAGTTGCTTTGGAGTGATTGTGTTAGCTAGTATCTCTAGTACATAGTTAAGTAATAGTAGTGATAATTTCTGTCAGAATTTGAAGCTTTGCTCCGCTGTCTTTTAACTTCCAGATTCAAATCTATTTTCTTTTCAAACCCTTCCCCTTCCTCTGTGCTTTTAGGATCTTCTCTTTATTGATGTTCAGAAATGCACAGTGAAATGCCTTGGTGTAGGGTTTTTTATTCATTCTGATGAATCAGCAGGGTGGGCAGGCCCTTTTAATCTTGGAAACGTAGGTCCTTCAGCTCTGAGAAGTTGTCTTCATTGTTTCTTTGATAGCTTCTCTCTTTGGAATTCCTGTTACTCAGATATTAGACCATCGTCATTAATTTTCTAATATTCTCTTCTGTTTTCTGTACTGTATTTTTTTGTTCTACTTTTGAGGTAATTATCTCAACTTACTTTGTCTAAAAATAAAGGTTTTTTCCCAATCCTTCGAATTTTTAAGCTTCTGCTGTCATAATTTTAATTTTCAAGAACTTTCTGTTTTCTAAATGCTTTTCTTTAATGTTCAGTCATTTTTGAGAGAGAGAGAGAGGGAGGGAGAGAGCGAACGAGCATGATCGGGGGAGGGGCAGAGACAGAGAGTGGAGTACAAAGGATCAGAAGCCGGCTCTGTGTTGGCAGCTGTGAGCCTGATGCGGGGCTCAAACGTATGAGCCATGAGATCCTGACCTGAGCTGAAGTTGGACGGACGCTCAACCGGCTGAGCCACCCAGGCGCCCCTCTCTAAATGTTTCTGTCTTACAGCATCTAATTCTTGTTTGTGCAAGAGTCTCAATTACAGATTTTGGTTAGGTTTTTTGTTGTTGTTGTTGCTGTTCTAAGTTTTGTTCTGTTCCCTGCAGTGTCTCATAGGAAATGAGTTTCTTCTGTTTCATTCTCCAGTGGATTTCTGATCCTGGCTATGTGTTCATGTTGAAAGTAATCTTTTGGGGGGTACTTGGCTGGCTCAGTGAGAAGCGTATGCGACTCTTGATCTTGGGGTCGTCAGTTCAAGCCCTGCGTTGGGTGTGGAAATTACTAAAAAGCTAAGTAAATAAAAGTTTAAAGAAATTTAAAGAATTTCATCTAAAAAGCTACTGATGAGTTCCTGGTGGTGTCGGAGATTGTAGAACGTGTGGTAAAGCAGTGTGATGCCGTGATGTATACTTTTTGTTTGTTTTTGGTGTACTCTTAAGTGTCGGAATTTCTCTTGGGCGAGTTAGCATCCGAAAAGTAACCTTCCAACGTTCTGTCTGTGGTATAAATTCGTGGTCGAGCTTTGGATGGCCAAGTAGCCACGAGGGGTTGACTGGATGGTCTTACCTGCCATCGCTTGCTCTTCTTGGCACCCCGGGGCGGGAGCGTCTTTGTTCACCCCGTCTAGAGAGATTTCCGGTACCTTTTCTGGAAGATTTCTGCGGAGCAGAAATGGAGGCGGGGACGGGAGTGAGGTGATCTACTTGTTACTTACGGAATTTTCCGTCCGTTCTGCTGTGTCCACCTTGAGCCCCTACTGCGCTTTCAGTCGTCCGTCCCTCATGATTTCCCCGCCTGGCCTCACGGCGATGGCCCCCTTCTGTGGCTTCTGTAGCATCAGCGGTCAGTTTCTTCAAGTCAGCTCACCATACCACTCACCGGCCTGTTTTTCACCTTTCCAGTTTTTCTTCGTGGGTTTTTCCTCTCTTGTTGCTTCTGATCGCTTTGTCCTTGTGCGTTTATCGTATCCTTTATTAGACATTCATTGCCAATTTGGTGGGGTTTTGAGAGGAAACAGAGATAAATGGATGTGTTTAATTAGCGTTTTAATGGACAGTCCCTGGAGCGATCTTTGCAAAACTCTTAGGATTGTGTTTAAACCCAAATGGTGGGCTTCCCATCTGTTTTTAAGTTTATTTATTAACTTTGAGAGAGAGAGAGAGAAAGAGTGTGTGGGAAGGAGGAGCAGAGAGAGAGACAGAGAGAGAGAGCATCCCAAGCAGGCTCTGCATTGTCGGTGCGCAGCCCTGCACACTGTGAGATCGTGATCTGGGCCAAAACCAAGGATGCTTCACTGACTTAGCCACCCGGGTGCCCCTCCATCTCGTTCTTAGAAAACACCTAGTTTTTTAACCAAGACTGCGTAGCCTGATCTCTCTCTTCTTATCTTTGCTTCAGATATGTCTTTTTTTTTCTTTTAATTTTCTTCTCCCCTGTCTTGCCTTCTGTCCCTCTTTGCCCTGGTCTTTTCTCTTCCGCCTCCTTGCTCTTACTCTCTGTCCCTCTCTCGGCCTCTCTCTTTTCCTCCCCTCAGCCCCTTCCACCCACACCGACCTTTGTTAAGTTTCTGAAGTGCGGCATGCTCTGTCCTTGCAAATACTGATGCCTCTGACTAGGGTGTCCTTCCTCTGGGAGGAACATCCACTGCTTCCTCTGGAGAGCCGCCTTTGTCCTCCTAGGTGAATTCACGTTCCGTACCGTCTCCCTTTTTCTTAACGGCATTATCAAAAATGCACTTAAAACATGTTTTGGTTCTTTGAACATCTGTTTTCCTCACTAGATCGTAAGTTCCAGAGGTCACTGGACACTAACTGATCATCTGGTCAGTTCTCTGGTCCTTCACAGCTCATTCTCACATCCGCTCATGATGGTAGGAAACCAAAATCTACCCGCTTTTTGTTTCCTTAAACATTTTTCTATTTTTTGCTGCCAGTAAAGTAGAAGATCTGATCTTACCTCTCTACTCTATATCCTAAAGGCGAGAAGAGGAAAAGAATAATCTCTTTCAACTTATTTCTAAAGATTTTTAAAGACATTTTCTTTTCCCTCCATTTACCTAAGGAAGTGATTATAAAATAGGAGTGTGGAAGGGTCGGCTACCCTTAAGAAATAGAAACTGGGTTTCATGTACTTTCATGTTCTATGAAATTATTATTTTTTTAAAGTTTATTTATTTACTTAGAGCACCCAAGCAAGGGAGGGGCAGAGGGAGAAGTCGATAATCCCAAGGAGGCTCCCTGCTGTCATCACAGAGCCCGATCTCAGGAACTGTGAGATCAAGACCGGAGGCGAGATCAAGAGTCAGAGGCTTAACTGACTGAGCCACCCAGGGGCCCCGTGAAGTTATTTTTTTTAATATTCGGCAGTTGGCACATAAAATTTGAAAAAGGCCAATTTTTTTAGACTCCCTATAACTTTTGGAGGATTAAAAAAAACCCGTAAAACACTACATACACGGACACAGACACACAAACGGTACTTAACTTATTTATCAGAGAAAACAATCAAACTAGTGTTGAGTCTGAAGAATCAACATAGCCATGTGGCATACAGCATGAGTTACTGAGGTAAAATATTACCTTCCCCCAGGTTTCAGAAGGATCCTACCTGGTCGGAGACTGGAGACCGTTATCTGTTGAAACTCTTTAGGGATCATCTTTTCCATCAGGTGACAGAAGCGGGTGCCCCTTGGATTGACCTCAGTCATATCATTTCTTGTCTTAACAAGGTAATTTGTATCTGGATTTTTAAGATCACAATGCAAAGTTGTGTTTTCTATAAATACTAAGAGACTTAAGAAGTTAGATGTATTCTCTGTAGCCAAAAGACATTTTCTTAATAATTATTAGGCGTATCTACTTAATAACAGTTTCTAGAGTTGGCAGGCCTTTTTGACATCTTCATGAATAACTATAGACTTTTTCATCGTGGATCTTCTTATTGTGATAAAACGTCACAAAAGCAGTGGGTGGGAAAAACAAAAATTTTATGTTTAAGTATTTTTTTAACAGTTGAATTGCTTTCTCGTGAGTCTCATGTTGGATGTCCCTACATGTTATCTGTTCATTTACTGTTCACTGTGGGCATAGTAATACAATATTGCAATAATAAAAGCACAGTAGGCCCAGTGTTCTAAGTGGAGAATTAGGTGATGACATGAACTAAGTAGATGGAGACACGTCATAAATTCACTGGAGAGGTGAACTTTTGTTTTTGAAAGGGCTAGGAGAGAAACGGTTCACAGAGGAAGGAAGGAATGCATTTTCCTTATGAATTACTTGGAATTACAGAGTGTAGAATGGGTCTCCAGAAGTAAACATTAGTCTTTGTATGTAGGTTTATATCTAAATCTCAAGGGTCTGCAAACTGGGCAGACAGACAGCCTGTTTTTTTGTTTTTGTTTGCGGTTTTTTTTGTTTTTCTTTTTGTTTTTGTTTGTAGCGCCTGCAAGTTAAGAATTTTTTTTACACTTTCAAAAGACTGAAAACAAATAGCAGAAGCAAAACTAAAAAGAATATGTGACAGAGACTGTATGCGGCCCTGAAATTTAAGGCATTTACTGTCTGGCCATCTTTATGGAAACTGACCCCTGGTCAGTTTATTTGCTGACCTCTGGTCTAAACTGTCCCTAAATTACAAGTACTAGAGGAGAAAGTGCCTCATGGCACATGGTGTAGAATTGTTCGTGTTCAGTGTGCTATAACTGTTCAGGGAGAATGTGGTTTTTGTTTTTAAGCACTCCTTTGCCTTGTTTGAATTTCCTTAAAACCCTTTAAAGAGAGTGTTGTCAATAATCGACATTAAGACAGAACAAACTGAATGTACCATTGAACTAATCTAGTATGACATGTATTTGTTTGCCCTTTCCCTTAAGGGGAAAACATTTTTCTTAAAAGCAATGAGTGGAGAATAATTCTACCAGAGTTTAGAAAATGGTATCCATGTATCAGAGCACCAGTAATTAAAAATACGTAGCACTAGTTAAACTGACAGCTAGATCCTGTGAAATCAAGCCATGGACAGATAGGTATCTGAAGTGAAGATTATTTAATGAATGTGAGGATAATTAAAAACTTGAAAATTCTGTTTGACTTCATAAAATAACTAGGAGTAAATAAAATTTATCCCAGATCTGAAAATGTGGTAATTTTCTAAGTTTGGGAAGAGTGTAACAAATTAAAAAGCGTGGATGGCCATATTGGTGATCTAAAAATTAAAATTTTACATAGCGTATTTTGGTGGGGATTACAACAAATTAAGCTGGTAAAGGGATTTGAAAGTTTGAATGTTCAGAATTAGTAACTTGTAAACATTTTAATGAATGAATTAGTGAAAAGGAAGGAAATTGTACATTGAAAACTAACCCAAAAAAGGGAAAACCTAACAAGATAATTTATTTGATGGACTAAGGATTAGTATAAATGCTTTATAAAGACCTCATTAAAATATTACTGCCAAATCTTGACAGATAAATGGGTAAAGAGCATAAACTGCCATTCCCACAAGTGGAAGTAACATACGTAAATGTATGAAAACCTCTGGTAATACCTGAAAATGTAAATAAAAATATCAAGGCGTGCATTTGATATGGAGCTGCTTGTAAATTGGTACAACTCATAAATCAGTGGTTTCTGATACTTTGGAAAGCAGTTTAGCCCTATGTGTTCAGCTATAAAATTATTTGTACTTTTTGGCTCATTGTTGGTATTTGTAAGTATTTCTCCTAAGGAAGTAATTCCACGGAAGAAAAAAAATTAAGTAGACGAGTGGGTTCGTCGCACTAGAATTCGTCGTGCCAAAAAGCTGGAATATATTGGGGCACCTGGCTGGCCTGGTTGGTAGAGCATGTGGCTCTTGATCTCTGGGTCATGAGTTCAAGCCCCACATTGGGCGTGGAGCTTACTTTACAAAACAAAACAGAACGACAAAAACGGGGAAAGTATTGAGGGAACAATTAAATGATGGAATATAATGCAAACAAGTATGAAGTGTGGAAGCTAGGTGGAAACACAGGACTGCTTAAAAAACATCCCAGTGGAGAAGTGTGCACACTGACGAGCGTGTGTATCTAGAAGGGAACAGCACAGAAATTTTTAAAATATTTGTCAGTGTGGCAAAAGTTGTCCTAAAATAGATAAAGTGGACTGTCTTCTGCCTGGTATGAACTTCGTATTTTGTGTCTCCGTCTGTTTCAGTTAGATGCTGGCGTGCCAGAAAAAATAAGCCTCATTTCCAGAGACGAGAAGAGCGTACTTGTGGTGACTTACAGTGACTTAAAGCGCTGCTTTGAAAACACTTTCCAGGAACTGATTGCAGCTGCGAATGGGCAGTTGTAGTATTGGCTGAAAAAGCACGCAGGACACGGCTGAGGACCTTAGCCGATAGCAAAATTGCACTCCAGCTGAACTGGTCTCATCCTCTCCTTCCACCTTTGGGAAACCCGACAGGAGATGAGCAGGCTGCTTGCACTTCAGTCAGGTACACTGCTACTCGAAAGGAAGAATGTCCCACTTAGCCTAGAGCTGTGGCTGCCATGGGGGCCGGATCTGTGAAGAATACTTTAGATCAAGGAGCGCCACCAGGTGGATGGCGTTCCAGCTGTTGTGTTTTTCCACTTGTATATGCACTAATTTTAATTTTCTAAAGACTTTTTTCTGATCTTGAAACTTTTGCCACATTGTATACTTACTTATTAAGGGCAACTGTTGCAAGGACATTTTTGGGAAACAACGGTGGGCAGCATTTTCGTCACGGAGGGTCGCAGAATTTGCTCTTTGGGGGATGGGTTGCCCTGACGGACGTAATGGACCAGGTAAATGGTTCCACAGAAGCACCGTATGGTGTATAATCCTTGTAAGAGTATTGGATGAAGCTCTGTATGCCACCGCTGTTAGTTCAAGTGGAGATTTTTGGGTTTTTGTTTTTTGTTGTTAAGAACAGACAAAAGAGAGACCAGTGGATTGTGGGATACGAACTCCCCTATTAGTAGACTTAAATCCTTTATGACTAAGGATTGGATACACAGGAACTTACACACAGGAGCACACACAGCCCTGGGCTCCAGATTCATCCAGAGTCTTTTCTTAAAAAGGTGTTTCCCTGCTCGTCAGACATACTTAACATTTACGCAACTTTTTTTTTTTTTTTTTTTTTTTTTTTTTTTTAATGGGAAAAAAGGTCAATTGCGTTCAAGGCCTGAAGTTCAGGAGTATATTGCTTTAGATTATTTCCAGTTTGCTTTTTTTGTATAAAGTTCTGTTCTTGGAACCACAGCTTTATTATGGTACTTTACACTGGATACAGACACAGAGACACTGTTCGGAAGGTGAACGAAACACAGCAGTGGTCTGGCATCGAGAGCTTTCTGAAGTTTTACAGCCTGAATCTGGAGGGATAACAATCTGCTGTGCCTTTGCAGTCACTGCTTAGCCCAAAGTAATAGTACTTTTGATAATAACTTCACTATGTGGGATATTCCTGAATAAGTCAATCTCAAAAGTTTGGAATGTTCCTCCTCTTAACTTTCTTAATATTTGGACGTGCAGTTGTTGCCAAACTTGGGTATTCGTGGAATTTCTAGTTAATGACACACCTACTCTTTGATACTGAAGACTGCCAAATACATAGGAGTTTTCTTTCACAAAAACACAGTAATGAAGACTCTGTCTCCTTTCCCAGCACTGAATGTTTTACTAGCACCGGGTGCTCACCATGCAACTATGAAGAAAACGTGGAAACTCAGAAGGTCAGGAAAGACTTCCAAGCACTTGCAACTGATGTTACGGTCTTCAATTTTAATAATTGCTCATATTTGTAGTTTTCAGAGAAGTTTTTAATATTTCTCTGTCCACTTTTTATAAGCTTTAAAATGATTTTCTCTGCCTTGAGATTTGCATCAAGAAAAAAACACCTCTCTTCACCTGAAAGCTTTGAAGACTAAAGACACGCTTTCCACATTTTAACAAGTGTGTCTGAGTCCACGTGGGGTAGCATCAGTTGTTGAGTTCAAAAGAAAATCAATTACTGCATTTGATCTGGATGGATTTTACGAGAACATAATGTTCACTGTTCAAAGGATAATTAACATTTGCCACCATAATGTTCTTTTTTTATGTAAAAGGAACCAGAACTTGGAGACATTAACATGCAAAAGTCTTTTATCATTAGCTCATGTATTTGAGGAAGAGCAGCTGTCTTTTTATATGTTTTTTGACAAATCATATTGTGATTCTTTTGTACAAAAAAGAACTACTTGTATTCTAGAAGAAAATATGAAATGCTTAATTTATAAGCGGGCTGGAGATTTTTTCCAATATCGTTTTCTTTGAAAATGAAAGGGGATCATCTATTTTAGTTTTGGGGTCTGGGAACTTTTTGAAAATTTAATTTGTGGACCAATGTTTTGAGAAAGCAGGGGTAAAATAGGGCTTGAACGTCTCATCCTGTATCGACCAGCAAACTTCCCTCTGCAAGGCAGGTTCAAATCACAAACCCAAGAATGTTTGCATCCTAAGTGCTAGTTTGCTTCAGCCCCTAGTAACCTCAGGACTTGGCTTGAATATAAAGGTGGACGGCTGATCTGTTTTCATGAGTAAATATCGTCGGCCAGAAAACAGTCGGTGTCAGGTAATACATCTTTTTTTTAAGCTTTGTTTTATATTTATTTTTCATTTAGTTTTTATTGGGAATGGTTTCCTGTAGAACTCCTATTAGTTCTGCTTAGGTGTTTTTTGGGGGAGCCCTCTTTTCCATAGTGTAATTCCACTTAAGAGGTTGTCTAAAAGTTAGTCTTTTTAATTCATAGGAAGATTGTAATATCTGAGAGTAGTCAAATTAAGGATACAGACTTCCCACACCTTCCTGTTATGACAGATCAAAGCACAGAAAGGACAACCCTTGAAATCATGTAACGTTGGTCATTTCAATTTTTTGTACCTATTTTAAATTCTGTTAGTGTATTTACTTCATTGTAAATATTTTTGAGGGTACCTTTGTATTTTGCTTTTGACCTTGGTTCTGTGGTTTGGATGTCAACAACTTCCCTAAAAGCACCAGTATGTTAAGTTCTAATGTCATGACCCCAATATGGGTTATTCATCTTTAATCCTGTTTTCAGTCTCTATGTGTACAGCAATATTTTTAATAAAGAATTACAGAGAAGTTTGTCCTTTTGGGGGGTACCAGTTCATTTCACGAGGTTAAGTTTGTCTTATGTCCAGGATTTAAAAGGCCGAACATTTCCTGTGTGTTTGGAGGAATTGTTGGTGGCAGGTTTATTCATTAGTTTACCAGATATCCGCTCAATGCCTACTTGGATCTATTTTGGGTACTGAGAATGCAGACACCAGAACTTGCTATTTATAAAGTACATAGTTCTACCCAAACATTTCTATATAACACATGGCTTACAGTGTAGTTTTGGAAGAAGATATGGCTAGCCTCTGATTCAGTACTTGGGTAATTTACTATACAGGTGAAGAGTACCCTTCCCCCCAAGTCCTCCAGAAACATTATTCAGACTATGAGGTAGGTTCGTTTTTGTTTTTTTTTTTTCTTTTTTTAAATATTTTTTTAATGTTTATTTATTTATTTATTTATCTTTAATTTTTTTTTTTCAACGTTTTTTATTTATTTTTGGGACAGAGAGAGACAGAGCATGAACGGGGGAGGGGCAGAGAGAGAGGGAGACACAGAATCGGAAACGGGCCCCGGGCTCCGAGCCATCAGCCCAGAGCCCGACGCGGGGCTCAAACTCACGGACCGCGAGATCGTGACCTGGCTGAAGTCGGACGCCTAACCGACTGCGCCAGCCAGGTGCCCCTAATGTTTGTTTATTTTTGAGAGCGAGACAGACAGACAAGAGTGCTAGCGGGAGAGGGGCAGAGAGAGAGGGAGACGCAGAATCTGAAACAGGCTCCAGGCCTGGCCTGAGCACAGAGCCTGACTCCGGGCTCCAACTCAGGAATAGCATAGCGAGATGGCGACCTGAGCCGAAGCTGGACGCTTAACCCACTGAGCCACCCAGGCACCCCGAAGGTAGATTTTTTTTAATGGCAGAAACATTAATATTTGTTGAATCTGAGTACTTAGTGTTTATTGTGGTTATTTCCTGTACTGTATTGAAGTGAAAAGTTGAAAAACAGAATAGAAAGTGATAAGGGACTGGAGACCTAATTGAGGGGTACTTAAAGAGGAAGGAGGGTTTCTTTTTAGCTGCAGGAACTAGTGAGTTGCTTTTAGAAATTCGGAGAAGAGCGAGAATAAGTGTTAGAAGGGTCTTGAAAAAGAAAAAAACCCAGTGGATTCGGTGGCAAATCAAAATGACCACTGTAGGTTCATGGGGAAGAAGGGAGACCAGTCTGCCTAGGATGGAGGATGTTTTGGGGGGCATCTTTTAGATTTAGATTTCTTGAGAGAAAACATGAAACACATTAAGCTAGGCCAGTGTTACATCTGTTCAATGGGGATAAAATGGCTCTGTTGTTTTCACGTCCTGTGCTCTGAATGGTCAAAAACAGGTGTTTCCCCTTTCCTACCTTTCGCAAGGTGCACAAGGTATCTGTAAAATGTCCTTCTGTACGAGTTTGGGGCAAGAGGGGCAGTGAAGAAAGACCTTTAAAACTCATGTCCTTAAAATTCGTTGAAAACAGTACGCGTGGCGGTTAAGAAACCGGCTTGCCAGAACAAGGTTCTGACATCCCGCTCAGTGCAGCGAATGAATTGGATTCGCTCATTCATGAAATATTTACCAAATGCCTGTTCTATGGCAGGCACTGCCCTAGAGGAATCAACAGAACAACTCTGACCATGACAGACTAATCTTTCTGTTCCTACAGAGCTTCCATTCTAGCAGGAAGAGGACAAAGTATGTGTAGAACGTTAAGAGGTAACAATGGCTATGGAAACAGAGTAGAGTAGAGTAAAGGACGTGGGTAGGGTTGCCAGATTGAGCACACAAAAATACAGAACACGGAGCTGGATTTGAATTTCAGGTAAACCACGGGTCGTTTCTTTTTTAGCGTTAAGTGGGTCTCAAGTATTACATGGGACATGTTTGTCTTAAAAAGTTATTTGTGTGAAATTCAAGTTTAATTGGTTATCCTGTGTTTGTCTAATCTTGCAACTCTCGATGTGGGGAATGTGGTGGTGCTAGAATTTCAGATCGGATGATCTGGGTAGTAGGTCTTATGGAGAAGGTGGTATTTGAGCAAGGAGCCAGCCATGTGGATATGGGAAGGAGAAGAATTCCAGGTCAGAGAATGTGCCAGGCATATCTGAGGAATGGCAAGGAGGCCAATGTGACTGGAGTAAGAGTAAGGGCCAATGGGACTAAGTA